GGTTAAATATGTAGTTCCTTAAGTTATGTGAGCAAGGCAATCAGTCCATTCTTTGCATGGCTTAGGGAATCTATTGTAGTTTAACAAAATAGAAAAAGTTATATTAAGCTGGGTTTAGAGCATTGTGTGAAACCAGCCAGAGATCTCAAGAGGTTGCTGGAATGCAATTGCATGGAAGAAAAAAACTAGCTTTATGCAACTGCAATGATGCTTGCCATTTCTAAAGAGATTCCCATACATATAATGACTGGAAAATAATAAGGACGTGATTTCATCTCCCTATTAAGCAGCAGCTGTTACTTAGCAGTCTGCCTGATTTGACATAGCTTAATATCTTGTCCTCCATTTATTAAACTGATTGGGTGGCTCAAAGTGAGAAAAGTAAATGCAAATGAAAGATAAATAAACAAGAGGAATTGATCACAGGTGAGCAGAACTGGGAAAAACTGGACCAAACTTTGATATGGATAAAAATGAATACACCACCACAGAATGAAGATGGTTTACAATATTGGTCTGAAAGCACTATGTTAATACCAGTAGAATCACAGCTACTGAGGTTGTATGAGGCTTATTGGCTTTCATGCAATGATAAAGAGTTAATGCCACATTTTAAAGTCTGTAGTGGAATGCAAATAGGAAGCCTCAGGTCCATTTAATCAAGTATTGTCGGCATCAATTGGCAAAGGTTATCGGCGGTTTTCTTAAACTCCGTGGCCTTTTCCCAAATAAACTGCTAAATATCATCATATTTAGTGTATATGAATACTAAACACCGTATGTGATAGTGTATATGTACAAATGTATATAAAAATAGATGATGATGATGATGGAGACTAGCAGCTATTGTTCTAGGAAAAAAGCAAGGAGGAAGATTTATTTGGCTTTGCTGGGTGGGTTATAATGGCATTTGAAAGTTTTTTAAAATGCGTTATTATCATGGCAGAAACAGCAATTAAGCTTAGAGGGGGGTATGACTTACACATTTTTTTCTTGTAACATTCAAAGCAATATAGCTTTGTTCAAGCAGCAGTTAACATACACTTGGTTGGCTTGACCAGAGCTGTCTATTGTTTCCTACATTGATGCTTAACATTGATGCTTTGTCTTGTAAGGGAGTCAGTTTCCCAACTAAGGTCACTAAATGCAATGCATTTTTAAGTGCAGTCAATCTGAGCCTTTCACTTAAGAGACTCAGAACATCAGTTCACGGAAGCATAGCTCAGAAATAATTTATACAATCAATTAAAGAACATTATCAAGGGATGATTTGACAACTGTTGCCATGCCAACCAGCATGGCAGATAGCATTTCAACGTTCAAAGGCTGCACCTGGTGATAGACATAGCAGATTTTGAGGGCTCTGGAAGAATCACAGATGCCCAAAGGTGTGGCAGAGACGTGATTTAGAAGCCTGATGTGATGCCTTTTTCGTGGTGAAAGGGTGTTGATAACATGTTGTTCACTCCCCTCCTTCCAAATTCTGTCATTTTTCATTCCTAGATGAAATCTGAAAGTGAGAATGCACTTTGCAGGCTGAGAAAATATGATAGCAAAATGGATGATGCTCATTTGCAGCCTGAGATAATTAAAAAAAAAAGTGTGCGCCAGTGTTTTTATGAAAAGCCTGTTAATCAGCCACAACTTCACTATCCTTAATGGCGGTGTCTTCTACACTTCCAATTATTATTAGGAATTCTAGTGTGCAAAAGGCATTGCATTTAAATGTGAACCTAGGGACCTACAGTAGGAGGCCCAATCAAAGGATTAGCCTAACTGGTTTCTGAAGCCTGATTAACAGATCCATTTGGTTTCATCTCCCCATGTATTTCCAGTTGTAAATTTAAAGAGCTAGTTTTTACTTGCACCTAAGTTTGTAAAAGCCAAGATACCATAAGGAATACCGCATTCCATATTATTCTCCCACACACTGCATTTGGCAAAAGAGATGTTGCATTTCATTCAATCAGTTTTTGAAGTATTAAGACTGGACCACATCCAGATCCTTTAACATTCTAAGACAGAACATATTTATTTATTTAAAAGATATTCCTTTATTTCAACTGATTACTGTATAATTGCCTTTTTAAATGGTGTTTGTTATAGCAAATGGTTTTAGGAGGTATGAAAACTACCTTGATTTTTCTGCAAAGAAATTGGCTAGCTAAAAAGCGTAATTACACAAACAATATCATATTTTTGGATTGGCACATCTCTTTGCCTATCCTTCTGTTGTATCCAATATTGTTAAAGAAATGTTATTATTTTAAACATAAAATAATGCTAAATATGATTATGCATTATGGATAGCACACAAGCAAGCAAGAAATAAAGAAAGAGGGAAAAGGGAAAGAGAAGAAGGGAAAGGAAGAAATGAAGGAAATAAGAGAGAGAGAGAGAGAAAAGAAGAAGAAGAAGAAGAAGAAGAAGAAGAAGAAGAAGAAGAAGAAGAAGAAGAAGAAGA